TCATCCCTCTCTCTCTGTGGGGGTGTGTGTGTGATTGTGTGTGTAAGAGAGAGAGAGAGATAGTGTTTGTGTGTGTGTGTGTGTGTGTGTGTGTGTGTGTGTGTGTGTGTGTGTGTGTGTGTGTGTGTGTGTGTGTGTGTGTGTGTGTGTGTGTGTTTGTGTGTGTGTCTAATCTCCTGTCCCCCAATCAACCAGCCGATTAGCTGATTTGTTGCCTTTTAGTTATGTTAATGCCACTTAATTACAGTCCTGGTTGGAACTCAAGAAGCTCACACACTGTCTCTCTCACGCACACACATACTGACAATCACCTTGCTTGTGAGCATTTGCAATTTGTGACCAAAAGAGACCTACAGCTGTAGGATTTTCTCTCTTCCTGCATCTTTTTATGTCTCACTTTTATAATCAGCCCTGCAGATAACATGGCTGCTGCTCCATGCAACCTTCAGCAGCTTGGCGTCAGTTTGTCCTGGGATCTCAAAGATGTAACTCTGTGTGTGTATGTGCATGGCTGTGTGTTTATGTGTGTGTGTAGTCTGTGTTTGTTTAGTTTGTAGACTGGACAGCCAGGACTTATTCCTGACAGCATATGATCCTGACCCCGGCCTAGCTTTCATTCGTCCAGGGAATGTGTGTGTGCATTTGTCTTTGTGTGGGGGTGCTTTTGGCTGTGTGTGACTCCCTGAGTCACATGCTAAGCCCCAAACACCAGTTCAGGGATCCCAGCCAATTAAAAGCTAACACAGGCCCGGATGCCTTGCCCCTACCAACATCTGGGTATTAAACTAAACGCCTGCGATATATTAGTTATGAAGTCAGCAGCTCGGAGGAGGACCACACAGGAGAAGTGCACATTTTGCTGTATGTCTCTGTGTATGTGATCCAAATAGCTGCTCTGTAATTTGTTCAGTGTAAATTGATGAGGTTTGTTTAGGTAAATGGCAAGCAGAATGAAAAAGAAGAACATAATTTCCATCCCTACTGTTTTTCATCAACAGATCGCAGCAGTCATCAGTTTTCAGATGATTTATGGTTTACTGCCGATTCCCAGTGGGCATACAAGGCAGATGAGTTGTGGACTGAGACAAATTTGAGCACAGGAGGAAAGCATGTGTTGTTTTGCAAATGTTTTTTTCCAAATTATTGCAAAAACACAGAAAGGCAGGCAACTAAAAGAGCCAGCAAATGTAAAACTGTAGAAAGGTTTCTTTCTTTTCTTTAAGGTACAGAGACTTAGAGGAAGAGACAATTAAGGGCAAATCGTTTGAAGAAGGTAAAAAGGAGAAAAGGCAGGTTGTGGGAAAGCAGGAAAGTGATGATATAACACGTTGTAATACAATGACCCTTATGAAGGGTGCACACACAAACACACAGATGTGCACGTTTTGTTATACAACTGAAACCTGATGAAGACATGTCTCTACATGTTCTCAGCTGCTGGGACTAATTTAAATACAGTTTACATTCTGAGGGGAGAGATACTGGTATGCTCTGAAGAACAACACGAGTCGTTTATGATGTTTATAATGAGCAGTTTAAGAGACATAGCAGGGTCTCTGAAAGACTTTCAGCTCGAGTGTCCACCACAGTCTATGGTGTCCACACATATTTTCTTTATAGCATACATCTGCTCTTACAGTACGGTGACAGGTCAGGCCTCAGTTTTTGACAACTCAATGTTTGCACGCTGTCAGCCCCAAATGTCAGCGAGAGGCGACTTTTGAAACATGATGTCTGCATATTTTACAGACCTGCTTATATTAGATTTGTCCTGGATAATTAGGATACTTTCAGAATTGTCGGCTTGTGTCACAAGTTTGACATCGTTTTTTACATTTTTAATATTCAAAAATACTTTGGTAAGAAACATTTTACACTCATGTAAGAATTGCTACACATTTTCTTACATTAAGTATTTTTTTTTAAGTAATTCAAATATTTATCCTAGGTGCTGAAGCCTAACTCATTAATTTGCATTCTATAAAAAGGAAGAACATTCTCATACAAC